TTGTTTTATTATTAGTGCTTTATGTATGGTTCACGATTTTGGACTACGAAAGTCATGGAGTATACACGAGAACTAATATTGATGATTTTAATTAGTTGGAAAATTATAGTACGTGTCAAACTATGAAAAATTGTTACAACTTGTAAATACTTATAACAATAAATATGTCAAAATAAAGTTCTTGTAATAAATACGTCAAAATAAACTTTTTGATTTTTGTTAACTCTTTTTATCCGACATAAAAATCTATCGCAAACAAAAAATCAATTAAAAGTATAAGCTACATCGCGTGCCAGAGTAATTTTCCGATACGCACCAATAAAATTCGACCGGTATGTCACAAAAAAAAAGCACAAAAGCCCTGAGAGAGAAATAAAAGTGTTTGCAGTAAAAAAAATTCATAATAGCGGAGACGAGAGCGAAAAGTAGATGGCAGAGGTGAGAAAGACTTAAAGCAGATGGCGAAGCTTTGGCTGAGGATACAGGAGAGCCAAGACTAAGCGAGTGAGAATAAGAAGAGGTGGAAACGAGGGCGAACTCCCACTTTTGACCAAAAAAAGTTTTCCTTCCCTCGGCCAGGCCCGAGAGTCAGTTCGTGCACCAAAACATGCGAAAGAGACGCCCAGCGAAGCCACCTCCTCCCCAGCAAGGCGTCGGAATTACTCGTTTGCCGGAAATGAAAAGTTCCTTTCCGCGCCCGGATCTCTTTTCGCAGCTACTACTGTTACTGCACCGGTATGTTCTTTGAGGGTTGGGGAAAAAAAAAGGAATCACTACTCGAGACTCTCTTAGCTTTGCTCTTCCCTTGAAATGAATGCGTGCGTTACAGAAGCTCCACTTTAACACCCCGCTGATCCGGCTAGTGGATTTGATTACGGTACACGCATACACGGAAGAGCCAGAGAGATGTTTGTTTTGTGCCGCTGACATTTTTTTTTTTTTTTTTTTTTTTGTTCTACCCGCGCGATAATTACTCTACGAAACTGGTACTTTTTAAAAATTTTATTTCGTACCCACCTCACGGCACCCATCTAGTACCCACTCAAATTTAATACGGAAAATGAAAGGAGAGACATTAATTAAAAGTTATAATTTAAAAGTTCCCACCAAAGCTGACTTTCATTCTTTGAAATAAAACCAAAAAACTAAATTGTTACTTTTTACACGAGCTAGCTTGAATTTTCATTGAAAATAATGGGCCAAGTATTTTGAAGGAAGAGTTAAAAAAATTACCATCTATTGATCACCAATCACAAACAACCACTCACTCCCATCAGTCTCGAAGTGCAGTATCATTAAAAAGGACAATAACGGCGTGTGTACTCCGCACTTTGGCGCTCGGCTTTCATCGTCAGCATCAACAAAGCGCCCTTTTATCGGGGACCCCAAGAGAAGGTGTCCGGCATCTTTATTACCCTTCACAACTATACTACCAGCCGCATATGTGCAGCATCACCGGCATAACAGAGGACATGATATCTTTTGGGAAATATAGGTGGAGCAGCAGCAACAGCAGCAAATTGCTGAGTCACGAGCGACGACCTCGTGCATATGTGTTAACGAGTTTTGGGCTGTAATGTGGTGCAGGGTGGTTCCTGCATGGAAGTAATGAACGGGACATTATTTTGGCGCTCCGGAGAGAAATTGCATTGCATTACGTGTTTGTCAGAAAATATGTTTTCATTTGGTTTTGTTTCATGTGCGATACTTTCGATACTTTTAAACTCAATCTAAAGCCCTATTTATTAATTGTTAAATGAAAATGGCATTTATTTTTTCCACAAAAACACTGTGCATCAACTGTACTTGTACATTGAATTCCAACAACATCGTTACTTGAGACGAAAAATTGTGAAAATGATGCTCGTATATAAAATTAAGATACACGCTCTCTCCGACGTCATTAATTTGATTTCTAAAGGGATGCCTCTTCTCGAGTATCGCAGATGCCGAGGTCGAAAGAAAATGCGAGCTCGCAGCGGGTGAAAAATGAGACATCCAAATAAAGATGCTCTCTACTCATCTTCACGCACTCCAGCCTTTTCCTCTCCTACCCTCATTTATAAAGCTACTATACGGCTAACCCTTTAAAAAAGCTTCAATTAATTTAACGTTGGATATCAATTAAACAGAAAGTATTTAATTGTTCGCCATTACCTCCATCTCTTTGTAGCACGTTTATTCATTAATCCGGCCTAACGAGGATAATTATATAGGATGTATTTGATTACTACGAGAATTGAGTGAATCGATGATACAACAAGGAAAAATCTATACAGACGGATAGGTTTTTTTAACGTTGCATTTTAAGCAGTTGAACTGAAATTCAGCTGGAAACTAAAGTGGGTCAGAGGTGCGTCAAACTTTAGAAAATATTTTGAACTCTGGAAACATCAACATTTCATCACCTAAAAAAACACGGAATGTAAATTTTCCGTGTCAAAAGTACACCATAGAGCCATGTAGAGCTTTAGGAAATACCTAAAATGGTAAAAATTTCATTGCCAACGCGTACTACATCTGTCAAATAACAAGGGGAAATCGAAGTAAACAGCGAATTGCTTTTTTAAGAAAACTCGATAGATTGAAGTGCTTGCCAGCATCAATATATCTTGACAAGAGTGTATGCGTAACTTTTGCCAATGGTATTAAAAAAAAAAAAAAAAAAAAAAAACTTAAGGTGACTGTGCAGCTCCAACGAGTTCCGTTTCAAAAGAGCAATTTACGGACCAACAACTCCTCAGACACGGTAAACTTGCGCTTGGTTCTTCTTCCCTTTTATTTCTCTCAAGACGGGGTCCGCAAAGTTTCGAAGCGCTTGCGCATGTATCTATAATGAAACCCGAGCGCGTCAGCTGCTCGCTTTTATCGGTAGAAAAGAGATCCGCGAAAAGATAATAGATCGAGTGAAAGCAAGGAAAACCTAAAGTTTCGGCTGTAAGGATTCATCCATTAAAATTATCCTTCTTCCGTTAGCTTATTTGTATCGGAGCTTTGTTAAGGTTCTCTTTTTTTTGCGATAGGGTTTGGAAAAGCTCTCCTAGCAACAGAAAGAGCAAAAAAAAACAAACTGTTTGTGAAAACGTTTGAAAGCTGCATTGAGGGAGATATATACATAAGACTATCACAAAACCGTGTCTTATTGTAGGGAAAAATCGATGAAAGCCGATCTCTCTTTCTCTTTTTCTATTTTCCTGCATTCTGTCGTTTTCGCTTCTCAAACTCGACGAGATACTTTGATAAAACGAGAATTTTTTCTCTCTCGTTGTTTAAAACGACTTTGGTCTCTCGTGCTGCAACTTTTACCGATTCTTTTAATTAAAAATGATTGGAAATCGGATCTCCTCCTCTGCAGCTGAGAAAAATTGGAAAATGAACATTTTTGCACTTTAAAACATTAAAAAATCAATCCTGAAAGTCTTTTTTATATTTCCCTTTGTCAGTTGTAAAAAATGTCCATAAAATCAAGCGGCAGGAAGTAACCGTGCATAACTTTCCACGTCCGCAAAATAAAGGACGTCATAAATTTTCAGGAAAAAAAAAAAAAAAAACAAATGGAGCACAGCATCAGGGAGGAAAGTAGGTAGGTCACGGGCAACGTCATCGTGCGCACATACGTATGCTGGGGCCGACGAACGAAAGTGCACGTCGGGGCGACAGACATATATACAGGGGCGCGCTGCAAGCCGCATGCGCGTGGCCTCAGAGCCAGTACGGTCAGAAAATTATACCTGTCAGAGAGTGCGGGTGCAAGCGAGGGGGAGGAATAAAAAAGAGGATCGAGAGGCCGCGAATGAATCACGCGAAATTTGCGTGCTAGGAAATAAATTACATCAAAAATAGCAGGGGTCCAGAGTAGAAGGTGGGGATTCCTAATCTTTAAAGTTCTCACGGGTTATTGGTCAAGCCCAGGACAATTCGTTATGCGTTTGCTCCAAAGTAACTTTCTCTTGTCTTGTATTCTTCGCGAGTGGCTGAGACTTTGTGCTTCGGCTTGAACTGAGATATTGCGGTCCCGAGTCCTGTTAGTCTTCGTTTGGGCATTTATCTCAATTTGGCCAATTTGAGGAGGCCATTATTGGTTTGTAAAATTTGCGGGAGACCAATGTGATTTTAAATAATGATTAATGTGCCTTTCGGGTCGATGCTGTGCACGATCGGGTCGGTTCTGACAAATTGATTGATGACATTGTTTGAGGACTTTACTTACAACGACTTTTTTTAATAGCGTGACTTTTTCACAATAATTATTTTTTCTAATATTAATTTATTTTCTTTCGTATCAATCATGTTGTTCGATGTGTCGAGCTACATATTTGTAAAATAATATTATCATGGTTATTTTTTTTTGTACGAGCGAACGTTCCTGGTTTCGATGGTTTATCAATATTTGATGTCGCAATATTGTGTGCTTCCGTGTTTGAACATTTTATACGAAATGTATGCAGGTTGATTTACAATTTGTCAACAAAAACATTTATCCACTCGGACACGTAGTCGAAAATTTCGGGATTCAGCACAGGTCAACGCGTGCATGTGTGTGTGCGCATGGAAATTAAATCTGAATAAAATTTTGTTATTTTCATTTGAAAAATTTCCCCAATTCACTGAGCGAGTGAATAAGTTTTTTAAAAGATTAATCAAGTTGGTACTTTGCATGAAATTAAAAAAAAATTTTAATTCAAATAGGGACCCGATGAAGTAGAAAAATCAGAGTTTAGTCAGACAAAGGGAAATATTTACGAATAAATCGATTTTGAAAGTACATACTTTCAAAAGAGAAAAATATGAAATACTATAAATCTATGGGTGTTATTAATCAAAAAATTAAATTACTGGAAAATGTGTACGATAAATTACAAGCCTTTTTAATAGACTTATACCATACTCGTACATCACAATTGACAAAATTTCCACCAAAAAATGAATAAAAAAAAGTATAATCCTCCAAGCTAACGTAAATTAACAAAAAAACCTCGAAATTCTTTGGAATGTTACAGAGAGCACGTTCCGAGTGATACTGACGAAAAGCAGCCGGGGCCTGGGCTTGAGCGTGTCGGGCGGCGGGACTTCAGGTCCGGTGCGGGTCAAGCGTTTATTCCCGCAACAGCCGGCCGCCCTGTCCAACAAACTTCAGCCAGGCGATGTTCTGCTGGCCGCCAATGGCACGCCCCTTACTGGTCTCACCAACTACGTAAGTATATACACCGTCATACCCGCACCCATGTATCTAGTACAGTTTCCAATTCTCCTCCTCTTGGAACTTGGAACAATGACACCCCAAAATTTCCACCTTCTCGATAGAAGCTACAAGTAGAGTATAAGTAGTGTGCTTCAAGGGAGCTTATGGCTTCGCGTTCGAGTTCCTCTTTAGGACACTATTTTATGGGGCTTCCTATCCCTATAATATATGGTAATTTTAAACGATCGAGGCGTTAAGGCTCCGAGGTGTGGTTGGATTTTTTAAATATATTTTTTTACATTCAGCGGTTCTCACGGCTTGAATATTGATACAAAAATCATCTTATGTTACTGCTTCAAACTTTTAGATCAAGGTGTCCCACCCAGCTGTAAAAAAAAAGACGTAGACCTCCTAATCTTATAATTGGCTGGGGATTGGGAAAAAAAGTTCCTCCCCAGAGTTACAGTGTAGCCATATAGTTGTCGGAGCGCTCGGTCTTTACAGCGCGCCTCGATTATCTTTTCCGGGCTACCGCGATAATTGTCACTAATTCAACCGGGGGAGCGATTAGCAGTGTCGCGCAAGATTTTAGACCAGCGCCGTAATTGCGAGATCGTTTCGAGGGGAAGACGGAGAGTGGCGGTGGCGGATGGAGGAGTAAAGCGATCGGGCGCGAGAAAGACAAGGTCTCTGGCATTATACAGCTCTCTCTCTCTCTCTCTCGTCTTACGTATATCCTCGCTCCTCCCTTCGGCGACCAGAAATCCGAGTTATACTCGGCTTCGAGAAGGCGAGGTTAATTGATTATTCATGCAGTTGGGAGCGCAATCGAGGAAATCGCCTTTTTATTCGCGCTCAGCTTCCTAACGCGTTGATAAAAGTCCGATATGGATATATATCTTTTGAATAGGTAAAAATAAAAGGCGACATCCAGTGCAATCATGTCCACGAGCTGTGAGACGGATGGATATAACTGGAAACAAGCTGTTCATTTCACGTTCGTTGACAATCCGAGAGAAAATCAATGTCCGTTATCATTGAGAGGGAAATCATACAATTATGCGATCTTGGAGATCCCGTGAAGCTCATATTGGAATATTCAATAAGCGATAGTCTCGGTATATGTAATCAGAGTATTTATGACAAAGATGCTTGTCCGTTGAAATAATCGTGCTGCAAATCTCGTTGGTAAACGTTTAAGGATGGCTCTTGCGAAAATCCTCATTACCGTGCATATAGTACAACAGTATCCATTAATTTGTGGGTACTAACGTATAATTTAAGACTCCCCCGAGACTCCGTGTGAGAGTAAAGCTCCAAAGGGAATGCGGTATGATTAAAGTCGTTTTAATGCTCGCTGGTTTTACTCTTGTTTAATTAAACAAACAATCCAATTGTTGAATTTCGTTTCTGACAGCCAACCGTAATATTGTGTCAAAGGACGGAACATGCGAGCTCGTTTGTCTATACTTTTTAATTGGATATTCTCAACCATCACGTAATTTCAAGAACTTTGTTGTGGTTGTACAAATAATTTCATGAAAATTCGTTGTAAGCCATCTCGAGTAATAAAACTATTTTAATAATACGTTAAATCAACAATCCTACGTGGTAACTATCATAGTTTGATTGTCTGAGTGACGATATTTTCTATATTTATTCCACATTGTCATTGGTAGTATTCCTAAAAATTTCTTTTTTCATTTCATGCTCACTAAAAAGCTGATATAGCTCATGTCAAATCATAAAAACACTCTCTCGTTTTGATTGTTCTGTAACAAGAATTATAGATGTTTGATTACTTATTAAAAAAAAAACTTGTTCAGAAACGCTAATCCAGCTCAAAAAAATGTGTATACCAGTAACCATACAGTTACCCACACGTCCACGGCAGATTATTAGAGGTGAGCTTAAAAGGCGGTCGTCTCAACGAGTGTACTTAATTGCAGCCCGAGCTAATAAGACAGCGCTGTGTCGGCCGTCTGTACATACACTGTGGTCCAGCGACTGCAAAGGCCCGCCCGAGTGATTTGCATGGTATTAGCATAATGTCACAGTGCCCCGAACAAACGTTATCGTCGTCATCCTATCTGAGAACACTCCCCTCCTTCTTTTTCTCGCTCGAAACTCTCCACCTCAATTCTTTTAAAAATACGTACGCGTACGCCGTGGTGAACTTCACGTAGGTCGTTCGCACCCCCTCGTGGTCTACACTACCTCCGGCAACAACTGCATCCATTCTTTTCCTTCTGCACTTTTCTTTTTTTTTCCAAGAGCCGCGCTGCATAATACGCGCAAACGAGGGAAAAAGCAAGGCCGTGCTTCTCTCGGAGCCTCGAGCGTAATATTCAGTTTTTAAGTGGACGAAGATAACTTTTAACTTCTCGGGGTGAGCCGTACCGTTTAAATTGTGACTCTTCGCTGTTATTCAAATGCCGCGCGGATTAAGTAGGCCAGAGTGAACTCTTTTGTAAAATGGTGCGCCCGTCAGGCAGCTGCACGAGAGACTGTGTAATAAAAATATTAAAAAAGAAAAAAAAAAAAGGGGGCACACCATCCAGAAAACCGATTGAGAAATTATTTAGCTTATTTCGAGTATCCCACGCACGCAAACAGCCGCCAAAATTTCCCGAATTTTCCGTCGCTGCGAAAAAGAGCGGGGGCGAACTATCCACTGCCTGGGGCGGCGGAGCGAGTTTCGGACAACCTCCCCCACCGGGATCCACTACAGGTATAAACTCGCGCAGCTAAGCTATTTGAGTTTGGTCATACTTCGCGCAAAGGCCCTCAAATTTCTAGTCACGGGTAATTATCCAGATGAAATGCCTGCCGCCTTACTTTACAGAGGAGCGAGGGGGTAAATCGACGAAAACTCGCTCGGAGGGCTGGGTTGGTCGTTAATATGTGTGCTGGGGCTTCGGGCTACAACCATAATTGAACGCAGTTGGGATCATGGGTGATATAGTGGAGAGGAGGCTAAATAACGAAACTCGAAATAAAAACCCCCGTGTATAATTTCCTCTGGCTGGCCGTTGTTTTTGCCCTCAAAACATATTAATTTTTATGCCGTACGTATATATATACACGTGTTACGAGAAAGCTTTGCGTAGATACGCTCGGGGGTGAAATTTTTATCGTTTAGGGATGCATCAGAAGCATCAACGAGTACACGAGTACGGTGTATTGTCGAACTTTTAATCATATGAATTTTGAATAATCCCACAGGAGGCGCTGGAAGTGCTGCGCACGACCTCGAGCACGGTCGAGCTGGTGGTGTGTCGACCTCCCGGAGCCGAGGTTAATAGCACTACGCCCCCGGACGCGGCGCCCCCACCGCCACCCACCAGGAAGGATAACCCTGGACTGACCCTCAAGATACCAATGAACCCGCTGCCACCGCTGGACGTCGAGCCTTGCGGGGTTAGTTTTTTTTACATATTATTCAATTGTAAAATGTATTTTGCCCAAGGAATGTTAGTTATTATTATTATTTTTTTTTTTAATACAACTGTAGTGGATAAATATAGAGTTAAGAAGTTGTTTATACTTAAAAAAAAAAGTCTGGCTGCATGCAAGGATAACTATTTCCTAAGCTTTGGATTTTCTCCTGTGGTGTAAGCGAAAATCGGTGACAGTACAACTCGATAAATGTATTCTTTAAATCATGATTAATTCAGGAATTTGACATCGAGCTGACGAAAGTCGCGGGCAGTCTAGGCTTCACGTTACGCAAGACGGACAGCAGCGCGCTGGGCCACTACGTGCGGGCGCTGGTGCGGGAACCGGCGCTGAGCGACGGACGCATCCATCCGGGGGACAAGATCATCGCGGTGGACGGCGCTACCTTATCCCCCCTCAGCCACGAGGATGCAGTGGCACTGCTCAGGCGGTGCGGGCCCACGGTCAGGCTGAGGCTCTACCGAGATCTGGCGCAGACCCCAGTCTCGGCACTCTCGCCTACAGAGCCCGACTATCCCGACCGTCCTACCAAGACTTGCCTCCGGTAAGGAAACGAATTTTATACGTGAAGCTTGAGGCTACAATTTTAAGGTCTCTCTATGGTGGATTATTGGTTGTCGATTGGCGTTCAATACCATTTTGGGAGATTCGAGTCCATCGGCAGGATCATATGGGTACCAAATGGTCTTATGCCGCTTGGAACGTCAAATATTTATTGGCTGTTCTAAAAATGTTGATTGAAAATACAAAAAAAAAGGATTTTAGCGCAATATCAGGAGGAGTATCTGAAATTTAATCGATGCAAAACGCCACGTATACATTATTAAATTTTGCCAAAATTACCTGTTTATCAACATCATGGGTGTATTTTGTAATTAACGCACACACTCGACCTGAACCTCGTTGGGATACATTTTAAGTAATTCTGCATTAAAATAACCGTTCGTTCATAATTGCGTAATGCGCCACACAGTTGAATGCCAATAGGCTCCTCGGGTATGTAATTAGCTCTCACGTGTAATGGATTTCCCATTTACTTTCATCGAAGAACTTCCCATCTCGCGTACTTTCGAACTTGATAATTGAGCAGCAACTTCGTATACTTTTGAATTAATTTCCGCTCGCGTTGCTCTCGTGTACTGTGTGCAAAGTTTGAAACAAACGACCGGAGCGCGATAATAAGGGATCCCACGATTCCATTAGCGCCTGACGGCAAAGGCGTGTAAAAAATGAAACAGCTTCACCGCGAGTCCCATCATTTAACTCCCTCCGAAAAATAGAATGAAAAAATACGGCATCTCGCGTGACAGGACTAGAAGAAAAATGACCAAGCACAATACCTGCTCGAGAGGGGCTTCTGTTTAAGCAATAACATGAGTCAGATAGATTTGGAAAACTAATCTCTTTTATTTTTATTTATTTATTTATTTTTTTCAGGCAAGAGGCAGTCGACATGCTGTGCGATTTGGCAGTGCGCAAGTTGTCACCAGGCACGTCGAACGGCTCGAGTAGCTGTCCCCGGCAATCATTGGGCACGTCGAGCAACTCACCGCGAAGGCTGCGTAGACCGGCGACGCGTTCCTCGACCGCCGACACCGACGAAGGTGCGACGAATTTAAATGAGCTATTGCGCTCCCTTCCCTGACTCTCTGCTCCATCCGTAATGCTCTACGTACACATCCTTTTGTTTATCTGATTAATTTTATTAGGTTATTCGTTTATTATTTTTATGCTTGTGAAAAAATTTGATATTCAAATAAATCTGAAATAAAAATTGAATAGCCAGAGTTTGTATACGTTTGTATTGTTGAGAAAACGCTCCAGTGAATTTATTTGCGATCGAAGTACGGGCAGGGGAGAGGATCTCTCTATGGGAGGATTTTTTTCCAGCGGGACAAAGTTGGGCTTTCATGTACGTCACGGGGTCGGGAAATTCTGAAAACGTTTACAAAGGCTTACCCTCTTCGATCAGGCGAATTGGGCTTTTATGTCGCCGATACGCGAACGCCGAGGGTAAAGCATGAAAAGCCATCGATGAGAAAACAATTACAATTGACGAAATTAATTTGCGAAATACACACACATACAGACACGCATGCAAACACAGTGGCACACCCCAAAACTGCATGCAGCTGCTTGTAAAATAAAAAAATTTAAAAAAAATGAAAAAAACTGCATACAGCGTCAGGCGGCAGTGTTGTCCAGCGGAACGGTAGCGACAGCAATCGGCACTCGCGAGCCTCGACTCTCAGCCAAGAGACCTCGGATTCGGACCAGTGCTCGATCAAGACCCAGATCACGAACTCGCAGCCGGAAACCCCGGGCAACGACATAATAGACCCACCACCACTCTACGACCTCTGCGATGCGGAAGCCTCCGGCTCCACAAGACCCACCAACACCACGACCACGACCACCTCATCTTCCTTCAACAACTCGTCGTCGTCGGCCCATCGTCCGAGCTTCCTCGACTTGCGTGGTGGCAGTCAAAATCAGTCCCACAATCATCATCATCATCATCAACATCATCAACAACAGCAGCCCGTCGAGCACTGCTGTAGCAACGGCAAGTCACCGCGATTCCAGTACAACGTCGAGTCGGACAGTGAGAGCTCAGCTCCCGTGGTAGCGAACGACGACGTCAGCGAGCCGATTCATCACAGTAACCATCACCATCATCATCATCATCACAATCATCACCACCACCACCACCATCGGAGTTATCGGGCAGCTACCGCTACTAGTGGTGGCCTCAGCGACGAACTGTCCAACGAACCGGCCTCGATGCCACCGCAACTGGGCAGCAGCGCCGGGCCAGCTTTCAGTTACAAGAACCCAGCCTACCAGAGTGCCAACCCGGCCTGCTGCGGACTGCAGCCCGACTCCGCTGCGACTGCCACTTCCGTTGCTGGGGCCAGCACAGGCAAAACCGCCCACTCCAGCGAGCAGGATATCCCAAGTGCGTATACCATTGTATACAATACGTATTTTTCTCTAGTTTCTTTACCACAGCGTATCAGAGGTCGAGCAAACGTGGGTGTTAAATTGCAGAAAAAATTTCAATTTTCATTAATCGCAATTCAGAAGACGTTGTTGCATTGTTAAACAAAAAAGCGCATTGACTGCTCATTTTAATTTCAACGCACTCTATATTTCTTTCGAAATTTATTTTTTGAGTCATACGTGTCCGCTCGAAGACGATGGCTGACAGTCGTCGCGTCACGCGTTTTTCGGAAAGCAACGAATTTTCGACCTTCCAAAACGCGAACCCTCCAACTGCCGGCTTCGTAATTTTTCAAGAGGCAAAGAAAAATTGATTTAGCAAACGATACACAGCTCAACGGGAGCAAAAAAAAATGTCAACGAAGCTTGTGGGGCGAGTGAGATGATGCCAGGTATACCTAATAGCAAATGTTTACTCGACAGAAAAAATAATGGGCGCTGATGAGCCCGGCGGTACCAAAGGCTTATTGAAATGGAAAGGAGTGATGTTCGCACCCAGCAATTCCGACGAGACTGACGGCAGGTGCATGATTAGGGAGGACAGATCTAACGAATCGGCGGCCTTAGCGAGCCTTCATGAACAAGGATATGAGGTATTGTACAGAGTATTAGTACGAGTCGTGTATGAGCGATTAATATTTTATAAATACCGATATACTAGAAAAATAATCGCGAAAAGCTGTACAACGAGTAGTTATTGTTCGTGGAATTTTAGTGTTACTAATGATTACCTTTTTAGTTGTCTTTAACTTTGTTTGTTTGTATTTTTGTTATTTGTGGAACAAGATGAATTGAATGACGCGAGTGCTACATTAGTCCTAGATAAAGAAGACAAAAAATACTCCGACTGCTTTGAACAGTCGATGGAAAACTTGTACATCGCGCTCTTTAGTAAAATTATACTTTTACAACGATTGCTTCATTGCTGATAATTTTTTTTTTTTTTTCGTGTAAAATGTGCTTTACTTATCTCCAAATGCATCAAAAATCATTCAACAAGCATTTAACACAAAGTGGTTCAAGTTAAATTGCATTTCTTCGATCAGCACTAATCGAAGGCCATTCCCAATAAATGACTCGGACAGCATATCAAATAATTATCTGTTATTTCCCACTAATACAACGTTGATAGGTATATCGCTACAAAATAAAAAAAATATATATATATTCCCTCACCACGACAACCTTAAAAACTTTTCTAACTTTTTCATGGTTTGCCGTAGAGTACAAATATAACAAATATCACTCCATTTTTTTCGCGTCGCGCAGGTGTTCATGATTGAGCTAACCCGAGGATGGAACAGCCGGCTCGGCTTCAGTTTGCAGCCCGAAGGTGATAAAACAGTGATATCCGTCGTTCACCCGGACAGCCTAGCAGCCAAGGATGGAAGACTCCGGCAGGGTGACATTGTCATAATGGTAAAGTCAAATTGCTCCGTTGTATTGGATGCCACGTAGACTAACGAGCTTCTTTCGCGGTACATATGCATAACAATCAATAAAAAAAAAAAACTTGCAGGTGAATGAAGAAAGTGTGGAGGAAATGTCGACGGCCGACGTGATCGACTTGCTGCGCAAGATCCGAGGCTCGATTGGAATCACCGTGCTTAGGCGTAAAAAGGACGGGACGTGATGCTGAAAGTGCGCCCGGCTTCCATGAATCGGCGAATCATTAACGCGGGACTTGGCCCTCGGTTCGCTTATCATCGCGTCACTCACTAATGTCATTATAACGATAACAAGAAATTACATTGCAACTACGATTATCATAATTTTAAAAAACGAAGCATATGTGTATAAAAGTATACAAATGTATATGGAACAAAATGAAAAAAAAGCGCGAGTCTTGTGGTCTTTTTTTATTCGATGAAAAAAGATTCGCAAGTATGCACGTCAGCGTGTCGATCGTGTAACTTTCGAAATGATTACAGAATTTAAAAGCCGAGAGTGAAGCTCGATCCTGATTGAATAGACTGAATATTTGAAGCAATAAAAAGTAGAAGTCGAGGAAAATAAAGATGAAGTAATATATTGAAACGTCATTTTTCGTTGATCGACAGTTTAAAAGATATTGTACATAATATATATCATACGAATGCGTTGACTCTGTATTATAATTATGATTTTGTAAGTACAAGAAAAATAATGATAAATCGATGTTCGAGTGCCTAGATGCTAAAAAAAATCTTGCGAGTGATTTACGTCCGATACAGATTTGGTCCTACTATGTTGTTTGGGGGCCGATATGAAATTTAAAAAAAAATATCGAAAGAAATCGTTGTTGTTGTTGCTGCTGTTGTTAATATTGAAAAACGATTAGCTAATTAGTAATCAAAGTCACGACTAATCAAAATTTTTTTAAAAGTATGAAATAAAATGTTTACCACTCTTATCTTTGAATAGCCAACGATGTTTTTGTAAATAGGCCGAGTTACAAAATTTTTCGATTATTCGAAAAATCCATTAAATGTTAATTAAAACGATTTTTTTCATTACTTTTTAAAAGTGAGATTTTAACGTCATTACGTACTTCATGTTAACGATATTCATAATAAGAAGCTCGAACAGTACTAAGTCATTAAATAAAGTATCGGTAGTAAGAATTTGTTTTATAAATAACCACCGTAGACAGTCTCGTATCCCATACTTTTATAACTCTATTTGTATTTAAAGCCGACATTTATGCTCGTTGTCACTTCATTTTTCTACGAAAATTTTTAACGCCTTCTTTTCACTGTAGTTTTCTTTCTGATTTACACTTTAATTAAATATGATACTCATTGTTACTATTTATTTGCTTTTGGTCAAACTATGTAAACATATCACACGTTTCGTGCAACTACTACATTTCAGTTTCCTCCCGTTAAAAATTTTTAATAAAGAATTATTGAATTTGAATTCAAGGAAAGCGTTAAAACGGTTTCCAAACATTAATCTTTTTCTGCAGTGTGGTTTATTGAGCAAAAAAAGAAAAAAATAATACAAATAAAGGACGCCATATGGTTAGAATATTAGAGAATTTACTATCAAGTATGACTATTTAAAGAATAATAAAACAAAAAGACTATAACGAAATAACGAATAACGTAATTGAAATTATAGATAGCGAGCGACAATTAAACAAAATTCAAATGTGCAGCGGTTTGACGAGAGAAGATAAGTGTTACACGGAAAATAGGGAGATATAAGTGAAAATAATAAATTTACCAAGGGATGCGTTTATACATTATAAATATATATTGAATGTGATAGATAGTTCAGTAAATAGAGAAGTCGTTGAAAAAAACCAACAAAAAAACAAAGATAAGGATGGGCAGAGAAAAAGTTTTATCGAACGTTATAACGATATAATGGGAATTAAAAATAATGTACATGAATCAAGAAAATCTTATTGAGATACCAAAGTATATCATTAAACGAAGAAGTTAAATATGAAGCTTGTAAATACGTGAATAAATCACAGACGTTTATTTTAATTCCATGCGCCTTGAAGACACGAGCTCACATACCATTGTAATGATAAACTAATAAATTATTGAATGATTATCGCAAGCTCTTTGTTTTTTTTTGCATTGCTAAAGTTTAAAATGTCTTTTTGGCAGACTGCACTGTTATCCTGTATCAAATAAAGTTCCACCTCGTTCGCAATCAGACATTTTTCTTTTTATTATTTACATCCATCAATTTAGTTTTTCAATCACACATTTTTGTATACATTTTTACATTTTAAGTCATTTATAACAATTATTTTAAAAAACGTTCAATAAAAAAGTTAGTTTCCGTACTACAGTAAGAATATCATTTTTTCAATTTATATTGCTTACTTAAGTATAAAAAATTCAATTTCTTATTTATAGGCACTATCTTTTGAGAATTTTATTTACAAACTTTCAACACAAAGTTGTGTCAGGCGTAATTTGACGGCGGCGAACAGGCTTCTTTGGTGGATTTTGTGTTTCATCCAGTGAACGCTCCACAGAAGAATTAATCCTCGGCCTGCCTCTTCGTCTTTTGAGCGAACCCGCTTCAGAACAAGTACTATTCTGACTATTAATATACTCTTCTTCTTGTAGTTCATTAGTTACACCAACATGATTTATTACTCTTGCCGTTTGCTTTGTACACGTTTTTTCTGTATAGCGTGCTGGAGTAATTCGTTTTCTTGCGGGCCGCAATATTTTATTTTCATTTGCTGATAGTTGACTCGTGCCATTTATATTGTTCTCCTTTTCAGAAAAATTTTTCTCATCTATTGTTTGTGTTTGAAGACTTGGAAGATTATTTCTAGCTGTAAGTATAAATGTCTATCATGTCCAACCAATAATTTTTCAATAACACATAAATTTTTCAATTGTTTTTATTTACAAAAATCAGAAAATCCGTAAAAGTCCCCTTCACTTGGAGGCGTATTACTTAAACTGTCAGTTTGATTGTTTACTGTTTCACATTCAACTTTTTCCTGAGACTTTTTTTGATCAGCTTCTTGTGGTTTAGATTGATTAGGAACACAATTTGTTTTTCGATTTGTTTCTAAAATAGCCAATGATCCGTTAGTATATATTGTGCATTGGATATAAACAATCCATACCATTATTAAGACTTACCTGAAAATCCTGTAGCAATCTCCTCACTTTCAAATATAAAATCCTGTATAATAGAATTGCAAACCTTCTTTGCTGCAGTTTCTTTAATGTCTTGTTCAAGTAATACAACTTTATCGTCATCTACATTACTCGTTACTGGAAAAGTTGGCACTGACAAAGACTTACTGAAAAACTTGTCTAATAGTTTGCCTTTTTTGCGGTTCTGTATATTTTTAATCATTGGACTAGGCAACATTTCATCAGACGAGTTATCCGTCTCCATTTCATAAATATTGTTAGTTTCGGTTTCTGTATTGCTTTGCTTGGCTGTTGATTTCCTTGCTTGTGCACTACCTCTACTTTTGATTCTCTGCTGTTTTTTAACAGGACTGGCTGGGACACTGGTACACGAACTAGAATCATCTAAATTTACAGCAGTACTCTTAATTGTGTTGTCACTTCTATAAAGCTGCAAGGGACACTCGTTATCTGAATCTAAATCTTGAAATGCCGTATCAGCTGATGAAATATAATCGGTGTTTTCGTATCCCTCTGATGCACTAGCTTCACTATTTTCCTGGTTCTGCTGTTCGTTTTCTTTTTTCTCCTTTTCTAGTTTTCTTCGATTTTTTACTTCTTCAATGAGTTTTTCAAAGCTTGACTTGTTTGCAAGTCCTAAAAATAATTGTCAAAATTAGAAAACATAAAAAAAAAAAAAAAAAATCCAAATAATATTTTTGATTCACATACTGTAATTTTTCTGAGCTTCTTCAATTTTCTCTTCTTGTGCATTTCTTTCAATTTGTAATCTCTGTCAAAAAAAAATTAAAGTAAGTATTAATGTGAGGAACCCATTTCAAAGATGTAATTGATGTAGATGTTTACATTATCAGTATTCTTAGCAACTAAGAAAGTATCCAGCTTCCTTTCCTGCCTCTCTTCCATTTCACACTGTCTTATTAGGTCAGCAACAGGTCTGGGATCATCTTTGTCACATTCAGCATTATAAATAACTGAATACCTTGTAAATCGGTTTATAAGGGCTCTGCGATCACCTAACGTTGATAAACCAAATTCTTTGATTTTTTTCCGCAACTCAGTCTCTTTCATAACATGAAGCACGAGTTTTGGAAGTGGCAGCCTTTTGGGTCTGAAAATTAATATTAACATAATTTCAATTGATTATACAAACAACTAACAAACTTTGAAATACTTACTGCTTTTTTATGACAGTTACTTGATTATTTTCACGTCCTAGACAAGCATCTAAATGTACGTTAATGTGATGTTCAGAAATATTAACACTGCATACAGGACACGGCACTGTTTTTGCACTAGCATCTGGCATAACAGGTGCAGATGTTTCTTTCCTTTTGGCAGTGTTGAAAATTTTGGCAATGCTAGGTATTTGCACTTTGGGTGATCTAGTTGTTGGACTCGACACAATAGATTTTGATGTGCTGGCCATTGGAAAGTCAACAGCATTAGGAGTTTTAGGTTCACTTGGTGCTACTTCTTCGACGATTTCTTTTCTTTCCACAACGGGTTTTGGTGACTTTGAAAGCATACTGCTTCGTACTGGTCTTACAGGAGCTTCTTCTTGTTTTAGTTTTTCGACAGAATTGTACACTGCTCTGTTTTCAATGAGGCTTAAAATTTTTTCTCTTATTTGCAAGTAATGTTTAATAAGACCATCCATCGCACGATTAATATACAAATCTTTTTCAAAAAAATCATGAAAACAAGCAGGACACTGGGTCTTATAGTGTAGATATTTCCTAATACACACTGAACAATCTGAAAAAAGTAAAATGAAACTTTATATTTACACTCTTACCGAGAAGTAAAAACTAATCAAGTTCAAGTGGAACAAGCCATGTTAACGGAAATGTCAGACTTACAATTGTGTGAACAGGGAGTAATAACTGATGTATTCATGTATTCATAACAAATACCACATATCATCAATTCCTCCATTCTCTGAAACAAAAATAAACAATGAAAGTAGAAGAATGGACCAAGACTGAGTAACTGTACTTTTGCTAGAGAGAGAGAGAGAGAAAGAGTAACATAACAAAGCAGAGCATACAGCTACCAATAAAAATGTATTTAGTTATGTGGTAAAGGTCTATGATGTTTATAAATACCTTTAAATCTTGGTACTCCTCAGGCCACGGGATTTCCCGCACTTTCGCCATGGTGATGTTAATTACTTGTGTAAGTGCTTATAAGGACTGGAAGGTTACCTTTTACAGTAAAAAACCAAACACTTTAACTGTTTACCTTCACCAATTTTATCACTTTATTTTCGCATTGCATATTTAAGTAACTGAACAGCACAAAGCTTTAACACTCACTTTAACTCATTGTCTCATTATGTACTCATTTTATATATTTCCAGAGAGACATTAAATTTAAATATCTAAGTAAGAACCGTGGTAAGTAAGAACACAATACAATACAATTATTTTTGCAGGATATTGAGTCAATTATGACAAGTCCTCGTCCTCGCGATGATCACTTGCGACTCGCGAGCAGAGATTAGTTCTCTGCTCGCGAGTCTGTATGTATTATACGTACATACATATACATATATTTATATTATATATATATATATATACAAACACATGAATCGCCCGCCTTTTTTTTCATCTCTTTTATCACCACAAGGTAAGAAAGTGAGTCACTGCGTTTGGCTGTCGATAACGTTGGACTTCTCAAAACGTGCAGATGGTAAAATATGCGATATGGGGTTTACCGGTAAGTTAGTTTTCTCTTTTGATCATCATTTAATGTATCTACATACAAACAGATGGCGTTATACTATAACCGTATACAGTTATAGTTTTATATATATATTTACTTTGTACCTACTTGGTTACTTTATGTGTTCCCTGCTTTAAGTACATAACTTCTCATGCGTTATTTAAAAAAAATCAAATTTTTCATCGAAATAGATTAAAACAGCTTATTATAATTACTGTTGGCTAAATAAGTTTCAATTTATGTATTTTTGAAGAATACCTAAAAAAACAAAAACTACTTTTAGAATTAAAGAAACGAAGAACAATCTCTTTGGAAAGTTAAAGGGCAGATAGTTGATAATTTTTTATGGTGGAAAGAAATCAGTACTTTGGTTACTATTTTTTTTTACGAAATTTCCAATTTGCTCGAGCCTTAATCTTAAATGTGTGCATTAAAAAAAAAAAATTATTAATTTAAATTAGATAACTTTACAGTATTTTTCACTACGACCAATAACAATGTAATGGCATGAACTGAGTTTGTAAACCTCGGCAAAATTAAAGCCTTGACGCAGAGTAAAACTAAAGAAGACGATAGCTAATCTGAAATGGCCGAATGTCACCATCAACTGCAGCATAAGCAACGACCATGCCGGAGTCCGAAAATCGCACAGACGATCGCTTGAGTAGAGATCGTGAGATGGTTGCAGCCGACACGACGAAAGAAAAAGCTTGCTTCGACGTTTCTGGGATTTGAGCGGCTACCCTTACCTTTCTTAGTTTTCCACAGGGAATGTGATTTCGAGGTAGCTTTGTTGGCACGATATCTCTTTGATCGTTCAATTGAAATGTATAACATTATTATTACATATTATCATTATTATATATTTTCAATTGGTATTATATTAATATCTTTTTTTACTCATCGTCGAGGGGAAAAAAAAACGGTTTTAGTCTCACTTTGGACAAATGAGGAGGATGTAGAATTTCATTAAACACTTAATGGGTAAATATAATATAATATACGAGAAACTTTGATTTAATATCGTTTGACTTGGTTTTATTGCTTGGAGGTCGGTTATATACTATCAATATTATGAAGTTTTCCATGACATCATGCATCGATTGAGCTGCCGTCAACTTTCATTGGAAAAATTGATAAAAAAAAAAAAACAAAAGCTATAAGTATTCAATATTTATAATTATGTGTTCAGTTGTATACTTTTACTAATGAAAATGAAGACCATTAGCATGAATTTACATAGAAAAGCTAAAAAATAACATTAACCAACAAGAAGGACAGCTATCAAATGATATCCCAAGTGCATCACACTCTCCCATTGCCTATATTACATTTAGGCGTGTTATTGGTTGAAGTGGCTGCTTTCCACCTAATTTCAGGATTGTTTTATAAGATTATGCGTCGAAATGATATAATCAGTGAGAACCAGTCCTTCCTTTTAATGACTTGAATGTATGTCCAAAGTGTACCATCGAGAGTGTAGAGATGGATATACGTATTTGATGAGCAAGCTGCGATGGAAAAACAGATTATTTTTTCGAGTTCTGGAAAATTCTTGTAGCACTATATCTCTCTAGTTCACGTTATTATTTTTTATCCATTGTATAGTAACAAGTTAATACACTACAACAACAAAGTTAATTTGTTTATGCAAAAGTGTTGGATTCACTAAAATATATCTTTTAACAGTGCTGCGTTAGCTTCAAAGAAAATGAACGTCGAAAATAGTAACTGATAGTAGTTGTCCTCACGGAAGCGCCATCGCCACCGTAGCTATTTTTTGACCCGAGGGACAGAAGGGTGGACCCGGTTGGATGGCACTTATGTGGCGAACACTATTTTTCCTACCGAGGGTGCAGTAAATGTCCAAATGTCACAAAAATGCCTCAAGGTAGGAAAAATACATTTTCTGTGACGAAAACTACTATTGTTTCTTCCTTTTCTTATGAAAAAAAATTTTTTCTCTGTAAGTATCACAGCTACACTTTTTTCTCTGGTGAAAAACATACAAGCCATGCCTCCATGGCAAATTTAGTTCTTTGCATAATTTAGGAAGAAAAATTTAGTAACTGATAAATCTTTTTAGCTCGCTTTTTAGCACGAGTTTTTCGTTTTTTTTTAAAAAAAAAAAAAAAAAATTCTGATTGGGTTATATGTATAGTTATGTGTAATTTTGTATTAATTTTTTTTTTTTCAAGATTTTTAGGTCTAAATATTACGAATTCATGAGGATTTTATGGAAAAAGAGAGAGAGAGAGAGAGAGAGGAAGAAGCAGCTGCATGCTGAGCAGTATTCATGGAACAAAATCGTGACCATAAGACAAAAAAAAGTAAAGCAAGTCGCAAGCTTGCGTTATTATGTACGGTACGCGCCAATAAGGAATCAGACAGTGAAACTATTTATGATACATTAATTTTTTTCAAGCCATTTCCCTCTATCTTTTCCCGATATTTTTGAAAACACGTTTTTTATGAGTGCTACAGTTTAATGCCAAAATTTTGTAAATCACCATTTTATATTCCGCAAAGTGGACACATCAAGTATAAATATTAATGATTTTGCGCGTAAAATCTCCAATTTTCATGCTGGACACGATGTCGTTAAGAGGCAATATCTCTATATGGATGTCGTTATATCGACGTTGATGAAAGTGTAATACGACGTAGATCGACGTGATAAGCGAGTCACTTAGCCCAGCCAATGTATAGGGTGTGGTCATCGTCTTTGGACCTTTATTTTATTCATATTTTTTTTGATAAAACCAATATTTATCGTATGAAAACTCAATAAAGTAATTTTTTTTTTTTACAAGTACGGTTGCACGATAAAAAATGAAAAAACTCACTCAGCAAGTACAAAAATACAACGAAGAAATTTTAATACTTCTAAAATGCTAGAAAATAAAAAGAGTTTCCATCTCAGGCATATAAAATAGTCTCGCTAGTCATATCAGTCCCCAGTCCTTACAGGAGCGACCCCGTCATCGCATTCGAAATCGATACGTAAAAATACTTCTTTCCTATGTGCAAGAAAGCGCGAAAGTATATACACCTTGACTCGCTTTTCATACTCCCCTTGGCTTCCTTCACGGGCGAATGGCTGCTGATCTTGGTGCACTTTACCGCACCAACAAACTGTCAACATCGGACTTATCGAACTATGCTCCCACCAGTAGGTCCCATACCAATAGAATACGTAATACAGTCAAGTCTAATATGTGTATATAAACATACATCGCGTCACACTCGATCAGAGCTCTATATGTACCATAAGCTGGAAGCATCTGATACTTAATATGGGGGACGCCCTACCTATACGTATACCTGCAGCACTTTGGCCTGGCCCTCCGTCCTACGTAGGGCTCTTCCCGGCTAAGCTTTCTTTTTCACGTATTTATGTCTTTCTTTATGATTTTTATGCCACGAGGGAGTCCATTCTTTCTCATCCCATAGCGGCTACTTTTACTGGTTTTCTCTTTTTTTTGTTGTCCCTCTTGTGTATTATCACCAACTTCCTTTTTTTTGTCGGTAGCTGAAATTTGGGCTGAGTCGACATCTGCCGTTTTCATGTGTTTTTTTCCTCCCCATCTTCCTCTTGTACAACTGCTGGTCTTCGGTAGACTTTTTTTTGTTCCCCTTTAGTGTGTTAATAGTAACGTGGAGTATATATGTACGTATACATGTGCGAGAGGGACAGTCAGCGGATACGTACTGACTGTTGCAATACAGTGGGTCACGGGAGTAGACCATGAATAAGTCATAAAGGGAGAACTTGCCAACGCTCCACTATCATCCGTCAGATTTTATGTTATCCCAGTCGAACAAGCTGATTTTGCGAGTCTTTTTGTACTGTATTACGCCAATATGTTGTACGTTATTCGATATTTCTAGGTACACGAATATCGTGGATACTCTTGTAGTCGCATTTAGTGTCACAAAAAAAAAAAAAAAATGTTACACATACTGATCTGAAAATTAGTGTACCGCGGTATCCCTTTATCACTAGGCTTTCCGATGAAGCCGTCTAGTCAGATAATTTTTCAAGGCGATGAAAGTTTGATAAGGAAAAGACAGGAAGTAAACTCAAGTATGAGCTCGCACGCGTCTAGATAGAAAGAGAGTAAACTCGGTTATCGATGATCGCTCCAGCCATGCCCGCGTCAATATTAAATTCGATTTATCTGGTAAACGGAGGTTGGAAGTAGGTACGATAAATCATTTTGTCTACAATATCCATACAAGCTTTTCCACTAAAAGAAAATTTGATGGAGCGCAAAAATTTCGTAGCAAAAAAAAAAAACAGATTCTTGCTAACATTTCCTACTCTCACACCAAAAGTTTTTCACACAGTCAACTGCTCATTTCGGTTTCCAGAAATGCCTAGGTGCGCCAACCAAAGGACGAGCGTTCAATAGCCCACGATCGATACAGCCTGCCGGGCTGTCAGTGCAGAAAGATGATCTGCCCTCCTCTTCCCGGATTAAACAGAAACGAAACGAAGAACTTTAATTTCACGTGGATTACTTCACTTACAGATTCTTGTGAGTACTCGTCGCCCACGTGTGTACAATGTCGGAGAACGTTGCATGTCTAGAAGCGCGAGATAGTTTTGCTAGACTCTCGTCCACCCTCTTTCTTCACGAACCGACTCCTGTGATTGCAGTGCTTCGTCCGCGCTTTGTTCGTTGGAAGCTCGGGTTCGTAAATGAAGCGAGTCAGAGGGGGAAAG